GGGGGGGGGTGAAGAAAAAAGGAGGCGGTGGGGGGGGGGGGGGACTCCGAGTTCAACTAGCAGGTGGCTAGAGTCCATATAATGTGCATTTAGATGCAGGGAGGTTATATTTTCATTTTTGTTCCTGTCTTTTTTTTTTATTATATAGATCATGGAAACATCTCCCTCAGGTGTCTATATCTAATTTTATAAAACAGTTCAAAGACCTGAAAGATCTGGCAGGAAGAAAAGAGGAAGACCTGAGAAATAAGGCCTTCAGATGAACAGGAAGTATGTGGTTATTGACTGTCGAGCAGTGGCATGAGGCTAATTTTGGACGGTTGTGGTGAAAATGTAGGAAACTGAGCTAATGTTTACCATGCAGAGACCTAAAAATCTGATAAATATTTATGACAGGCAAACCCTAAGCGGTGCAGAGCTGCAGTAAATCCAGCAGTCGTCAGGATTTCATGAAGCTCGACGCATCATTACATCAGATAAAGACCATCTCATAATCTGAGCAGGATCTCTAATCCCACTTATCCTCCTCTGCTGCACTTTAACTCACCCCTGAGGCGACAGTTTGTCCAGCCAGCCCGCTTTAAGCACTTGGTGTTTGGGGCCTCCATAAAAGCAGGCGTAGGGAGAAATGTCAGGCAGCACAGTCTTGCTCCCAACCCTCTGCAGAGTGTCCATGGAGTCTGAGTACAGGTCGCATGCCACCATGACCAAGCCTCCATCCTTTGGAGCGGGGGCAGCTGCACAGATCGCTGGATTCTCAGTGGGAAGGGCAAAGTTTGCTTGTGAGGCGACCTGAGGCAGAACGCTGGTGCACTCTTCCACTGTTGAATACTCATCTTCAACCAGGTCTGAAGTGACTGGAGTCGCTGGATCGTTTTCCTCTGCCTCCTTCTGTTTAGGTATCTTTAATCTGCATTAAAATAATGTATAGTGTCTGGTCTGAGAGGATTAGGAACATTCTGAAAAATAAACTTTAAAAATATAATAATCACTATTATTTTAGGAACGTACCAATACCAATGGCAGTAGAATCCATCAGAATTGGGCCCAAAATTGTCTTGAAACATGAAGATAGTTCTAAACAGTTGGAGTGACACCAGAAAGCTGCCGAATGTTTTCATTGAAATCCACTATTGATGTAAAAGCTCTGCTCCTTTTCTGTCGGGCTGCCTGTGTGTTTGTTTGTGGTCTATACTCTGTTTACCAGATGTGGGCTGCTGCAGATATGTTAAACATTGCTGAATGTTTTCACATAAGGTAATTAGGTTGTCCATCACTGGGCAACAATTTTGCTACAAACAGTTTCCATGAGGGGGTGGCTAGTGGTTAGGTCTGCAAACGGAGGCCAATAAATGAATCAGTTTGTGGTTTAAACTTTGGCCCAATTATTTGATAGTGCAAATGATATTGTTTTAAGGGCTTGAAAACCTTGTCTAATCAGACAAAAAAGATTAAATATAAAACTAGTAGGCAAAAAAATAAGTACGTTTCTGATTGCAGATACCATCTGGGCAGTTGGTGTTCAACAGGCCTTCATACCATCTGACGACACAACTTTATCTCTACACCTGATAACATTAGGCAGCAGTGTTACCTCTTCTTCTTCTTCTTCTGCTTTATATTCTCCTTCAAACCCAGCTGCACACCCTGGTCCTAGAGAGGACAAAAATAAAAAACCAAGGAATTAAAATCAGATGAATCAATCTTTCAGTCAGACTCTGTTATCACGCTGCTGCGCTAAGCTATTTTAACTTTAGTGGTGAGGTGACATTTCTATTAACCCGGGGGGCCAAAGTGAAAGAAGTACATTTTCCACTGTGTTCTATGAGCCTGGTGACAATATGAACTCTCAGAGGAAAGTCTGCTGCAAGAGCTGTGGCTCAAAAACCCATGGCGGTGCGGCTGATCTGAGACATGTCTATTCTTCTTTGCTAAGCTGCTGCTCACCCTCTGACAGTCAAGTGTGTGTGTGTGTGTGTGTGTGTGTGTGTGTGTGTGTGTAGTCTCTTACCGCTTCTTTCTCAGGTTTGTTGTACAGAAACATTTCTCCATAGGGAACAATAGGTGTCAGGGTTCTTTGAAGAGGAGCTAAAAAGGACAGACAACACAACAGGCTTTTGGTGTGATGGAGCTGAGAGGTGGAGCTTGAAGGCTGATCAAGAAATAAAGGGTTTTCTACTTTGACTTGCAGCGGTTACATTTTGAATCCATTGTTAGATGTTTTATGTGGACTTTGATTAAAACAAACGACTCATCTGCAGAAATATGTCGACTATTGATCCATACAGGCAATCAAAGCACTAACTGCACTGTGTTCCAGTGTGAACAGCTCTGCTTAGAACCTTTACCTCACTCATTTAAAAAAAAAAAAAAAGAAAGAAGTCACCATCTTTTTCTAACCCAACATGCTCAAAATACCATCACCAGTGCCATGCAACATGAACAAGTTGGTTATCCGCACCACTCAAATGAAATATCACTGGGATGTTTCTATTTT